CATACATACATACATACATATATATATATATATATATATATATATATATATACACACATGCATATACAGAATAAATCATATTTATATATTTAAATCGATTATTTTAAAAAAACAAATTGTGTTTACATGGTTAACCGTTATATAGGATATTTCAAAAATATCAGAACATTTATAAACTGGAGATTTCTACGATTCTAATTTCAACAATAATTTTTTTACAAAAATTTTATGGCTTTGTTAACGAGTTATTAAAAAATATTAGTCATGCATAGTCTAGTCGTAAGTGTTATCTATGTCCTATCGACCGAGCATAAAGAAATATAAACAACATATTTTGAAGTGTATAATAAATATTTTTTTATACATTAAAAATTATATTATAAATAAATCGAATTATATTACAAATGATGAATAAATTAATTAATTGCAATTATGATAAAATTGTGACATAAAAAAATAAATTATGTATTACAATCTACAAAAAGTCTAAAAAATCTATTATAGTCTAAAAAACAATTCATCAATAAATAAACTTTATGTTTATGCTCCTTTCATCTCGAATATCGTGAATCGCGTTCTTATATAAAACATTAAGCAGCCAACAAAATTGTTTAGATTAGCGACTCTAATTGTGCGACATCTTCAATTTAAGGAAAATTCTTCATCAATCTAAGAAGAAATATCGTACATAGAATCCAAAAAAATTGATCGATTATTTGTAATAAATTTATTTGAATATATTGAATATATGATATTGTAAATTAAGATTGGCATAATTAGAAAATTATCTTAAAATATCATTTCAATTGAATATTTTTAAAAAATATATAATTTTTTTTCGAAATATATCAATTTTTGATTCACAATATATTATGACAAAAGATATGGATTCACGTTGCGTGATCTCATTTAGGAGAAATGTTATAAGATTGTATATTTCTTAAAAATTCTTCAGCGTAGCAAGAATACAGTTGAAATGATATTTTCAAGTCATATCAATTTTAATCAATATCATCTTCTAAGAAATTTATTATTCGATCAATTTTCTTGGGAATAATGGATTCTGTGCAATATTATTCTCAACCTAATTTTAGGAATTTTGTTTAAGGAATATTGCATAATCAGAGTCGCTAATCCATAATGTAGATTATGTATCTTATTGTGAAATTGTGATCCATTGAGATGAACATGAAGAAAAGTTTAAAGAATACAAACGTTCTTAAAAATCTTAAGAAGTTATAAATTTTTCAAACTATTTAGATTAAATAAAGTTCTCAATTTTATAAATTCAGTGAACTTTGTTTTGTAATGCGTATTTACTATGCGGACAAATATGAAATATTATAACATATTTTGGATATTAGCCCAATGCGATAGAAATGCAACAGTTGCAATCCGATAATATTAAAAGTCACATCGAACTCACATAATAAAGAATTTCGGACATTGATTACTTATGTATAATACAGATAATTTAATGTCCATAGGAATCAATCGCGATGCGCGATTGTTACGGATTGTTGATAATATTTTATCAATGATAGAAAATTGTAATATTAACCATCTTGAAATGACTCTCAATTAACATAACATGATTAATTATTAATTAAATATATATTTATTTAATAATAAATGCCTTCATTTTGTTTTAATGTTAATCAGATGACAGTACATTATCTTAAAAAACAAATATGTGCAGGTACAAAACTTACATTTTTAGGATTATATTTAACAGTTTCAATATTCGAAATAGCTATTAGAAAAAATGGAGCGGAATCTTTTATTCTGCAAATATGTATTGTGGATAAATGAAGTTTTTTGAACACGAGAAGAATGTTACAATTACCACAATGCAAATTAGAGAGCGAACAAGCATAAAACAATTTATGCTTCGTCCACGCTTAGCACAACTCTATTGATCAATCACTTTATGAGTTGACATTTATTGCGATTTTATTGGACCATATATGCTTCTTGGTAACTTATATTGTCCAATATATAAAATATTTCTAGAAAATGTTCTTTTAGAAAAAATTTCCATTAGAGATCTGGAAGAATATGATCTTTCAACAATGAGACATCAGTCCCATGTTAAAAATATTATTGAATATTATAAAATATTATAAAATATAAAATATAAAATATTATAAAATATTATTGAATATTGCAATATTATTAAATATTAGATGAAGCCTCTCAAGACAAGTGACTGTAGCGATATTGTAAGCGTGGTCCCCATGAACATTTGATGAATTCTTTAGATTTTTATTTTTTTAAATAATGAAGAAGAGATATATCATCATTCATCAATATTAATGAAGAAAATAAAAATGAAAATTCATGAAATGTTCATGTATTGAATTTCAATATAGAATTGCTATAGTATATTTAAATATTATTCGATGTGCAGAAGTTCGTTTACAACAGCAGAACTATGTTTATCATAAGAAAATTAATTTTCTTTAAGTCCACCAATATTTTTTAATGAGATAGTTCAAAATTCTCTTTTGAAATTACTAAATTATAAATGATCAACTGATCAATATTGATGATAGTACAAGTGAACAAAAATATGTTAATTCGATACAGTGTGTGTATTATTCTTCAATAATGTTTTATTTTTAATTTATTTAATTAATTATGTTATGTGTAAATTTGTTAAAAATTTGTTAATTCATGTGTCAATGTTAAGAAAGGATGTTCCAGACAATGATTCAGTGGCATATTTCAAAGATTAAGTTAAATTTTTGCTTGAATGATTAATTTATTTGATGAATTGTTTTTTAATATAGATTGTAATATATAATTTATTTTTTTATGTCATAATTTTATCATAATTGCAATTAATTAATTTATTCATCATTTGTAATATAATTCGATTTACTTGTAATATAATTTTTTATCTATAAAAAAATATTTATTATATTCAACACTTTCTTTGAGATATGTTGTTTGCATTTGTTTATGTTCGATGACAGCATATAGCTGCAATTGCGGTTCGACTAATGTAATTGGCCAGTATTTTTTAATAATAATTCGTAACTTTTGTAAACGAACATTTTTGTAAAGAAAAATATTTTTTGAAATTACTTTAGAAATCTCTAGTTTTGCCATTTCTAGTTTTTATTTCTATTTTCGGAATATAATATATATTCAATATATATTATATATAATATAAATTATATAAAAAAAATGGTTCAAATAAAAATTGTTCGATATAAAAAGATATATTATATTATATTATTAATAATTTTTCTATAAATTGCTTATAGATTTTTCTATAAATATTATTTATAGATCATATGAAAGTCAACTTCATTTTTTTGAACCAAATGAAATTATATGATTATATTTATCAATGTGTGCAATATTATTTTCTATAATGTAATATATTTTCTATTTTCTAAAAGTGCTAAACTATTTTATTATCAAAAAATTTTTAGTTTAGAAGATATTATAACTTGAAAATATAATTTATATAAAATTTATATAAAAAACAAGAGAGGATGAATAATAGGACATTACATACTCCTTATCTTTCTATTTTAAATTTCAAATTATATCTTTTAAACTAAAGATTTTTTGATGTAGCTTACATTTTACTATATAATATTATTATAAAATAATTGTATAAAATATAATTATATAAAATTATTTTTTTTAAAAAGTAACGAATTATATATTTTGCAATAAAAATTATATTTTTATAATTTTATGGTTTTATTTATTTATTGTTAAAATTATGAATTATGTTTTAAAAATGATGTTTATATAATCTGTACGCGTTATACATATATTGTACTATAGAAAAATTATTAATATTATTGAATGTATCTTTTTATACAATTTTTATCTGAAACATTTTTTCATTTTAATCATATTTTAGAAATATTTGAATTCGATATAAATTATATATATATAAATAGTTTATTAACTATAAATATTCTATTTTGATTATATATTTTATATATAAATTTATTTTTTAATGAATATTTTTTAATGCACAAAAGATTTATCTATTTAAATAATATTAAGAAATATAAAATAATTTGTGTAAATGAAAAAATAATATAAAATATAAAAAGAATAATATAATATAAAAAGAATATAATTGCATTACATTTTAATAAATTTTAATGTGAAAAATATTAATAAATTATATGGAATAAAAGCAAAAAATAAAATATAATAAACATTTCAAAATATTTATACATGTTTTATCATTTTTATTATTATTAAAGATATAAAATAATGAAATAATTAAAATGTAAAACGTTATTTAAAAATAAATATATTTAAAATTTAAAAAATATTAGATTTTAAAAATATATTTATCTTATACTTACAGTTTAAATTGTCAAGTGGATTCTTGGATTTTAAATGAGGCACCATTGTTTCCTGTTTCATTTTCAATTTAATTTCTTTTACATTTTGTGAATATTCTTCAACTGAAATAAAATATTATTATTATTATATATTAATATTATTATTATATTATTATTATATTTTGTATTTCTTTTTATTTTATATAAAATTACCAATAACAATATATGATATTAAATTATAGAATGTAATATATAATATATACATGTAATGAATAATATGTTTAAATTTGATTATATTAATAATTATACATATTGGAAAGAAATTTATTAAATTCTTATAATCTTGAAATATATTATAAATAATATGTTAGAAATAATATTCTTATATAATTTAATAATTTTACAAGTATATTTGCTAAATCATTCTGATTCAAAAATATATATATATTATATATATTATGAATTGGTCCATTTTTGATACATTTCAAAGAATAAATTCTATTCATAATTGAAATAGAATATAGAATAACTTTTTATTTTAAATGCATTTTTTATTTTTTTTATTCATAGATTAGGTTAAGTTAGATTAAGTTCTAAAAGGCATTCAAAATTCTCTTTGACATATAAATCAATTCTCAAAAGATGTAACTTGTATAATGCATCCGGATTTTTATAGTTAATTTTTTTTCAATTATTTTTTTATGGATTATATAAAAGCAAAAATATACATCAATGTAATTCAGAAATATGTAAAAAACCAATATAAGTAATAATAGCATCAAAAATAAAAATATTAGAAAAGTATTAGAAAATGATATTATTAAAACTTTAAAGAAAGAAAACAAAATTATTTTAAATCTCCTTATTTTAATATCTCCTTCAGCCTATTATATATAAATAAAAAAAAATAAGAAATGTATAAAAAATAGAAAACTATAAATTCTGTCATGCGTGTCATATACCACGTATATATGCGTTCAATTTCTGAAATATTAATAAAAATATTTATAATATTGCATATTTTACTAATTAATTAATTATATAAATTAATTATATAAAATAAAATAATAATTTTATAATAGAAAAATTTAAATTAAATTAGTTTCAATAATTTTACTTCGATATATAAGCCATTTTCTTCTTAATTAATTTTTAGAAAATTTTAATCATTTTTATTGTTTATTAGAAAATTAA